TTTATACCCTTGTTGGTAAATATAATAATTAAGCGGAAAAACTTTTACTGCTGCAGTTGGAGTAAATATTGGATGTCCGATTCTAAAAGAGCGTTAATTTTCATTAGTACTTACATTAAGGGCTGCCTTTGAAGCTGTTGCAGAACTGGCAAAGGGACCCCCCATAATGCTTGCTAAACTTGATGTTACAGCAATGTGACCAACTCCACGATTAATGAAGTAATTTACTGCTACACGTGATAAGTGGACAGTAGAGAATACATTCAAGTCAAAAATTTGCTTGTCCACACTAGCTTCGATTATTTCAAATACTGCCCTTTGACCTCGGCCTACGTTATTAAATAAAATGTCAATATGGCCAAAATGTCTTAGTGCTTGATCGAAATATTTCTTGTGGGAGTATATGTCCAGAATGTCCATTTGAATAACGAGAATGTCGTTTGTTGTTAATTTACCTTCAGAACTATCTAAAATGCGAAAAAAGTACCTATTATGGATTACAATTAGTATCACATTAAATAAAAAATATAAAAAAAACCTTTTTGAAATCGTTTTGAAAATAATTGTCTTTTTTTATTAAAGCATTACATGGGTAGATACCAAAAGTAGTGCATTTAAAAGATCGTTCCAAAGTTGAACCAAAAATCCACGATTTTCGAGAAAATATATTTGAAAGCACAGGCAAAGGCCAATCTGACCCTGGTAGAATCACGCAGGGAATTACGACACTGCAACGTCGCATTCAATCAGCTGCTACTTAGCAGCATTCGTGTTGCATTTCTTTTGTATTTTTGTACTCATGCATTGTTTTTTATTTGTTAGATTAGATTAAGTGTGATTGACGATGATCAGCGCATAGTCCTGATCTGAATTCGTTGTATAAAACAGCGCGTATATCAAAAGCCAATGATCGCTGCAAATGAAGTACGCTAAATAACACACGTTTTTGCGCGATTCAGATAAAATTTTTGTAGTGCACGTTCGTGTGTCTGTCTTGCGACGGGGGGACAGGGCTATTGGCGAACCATCCATAAAAAGGTAACGCACCTTGAAAAAACCTCAATGGTAGTTTTGAAATTAATAAGTTTGCTATTACAAGATGGTTTTAAAATTTCAAGGGATACTTTCAATTTTACAGGCTATAGTTTATATTTGTCCTTTCGGGTCTGTAGCTTGATGAGTGTTTAATTGACACCATTTTAATCAAGACAATTTTGGAGTTCTCACGAAAATGGAAGATTTGGAGAAACGGGCGGTTTCCATTTAAAGATGTTAACGCCAAAACAAATCAAGGGGGAAATGGATAACATACTGTCCCATCATCTCCCATGATAAAAAAATGGGTATCAGAGTTTAAAATGGGGCGTACGGGCACAAGTAATGAGTTTCGCTCCGGACGTCCTATGGAAGACACAACTCTTGAAATGATTGAAAAAATCCATCAAATCGTCATGTGAGATACCAGATTGAAATTGTTTGAGATAGCAAACACTGTTCAGATATCAAAAGGACGTGTAGATAATATTTTGGGCTTTAGCAATGTTTGTGCGTGATAGGTGTCGCGTTTGCTGACACCTGACCAAATGTTAAAACGGAAAATTGTTTCAAGTGAGAAAATCCCGATGAATTTTTGAGACGTTTTACAACTAACGATGAGGCTTGGATCCACCACTTAACTCCTGAAAGCAAATTACGGTCAAAACAGTGGATTGTACCAGGTGAACCCTCTCCAAAAAAGACAAAATCAATTTTGTCAGCTAACAAGATTATGGCGAGTGTTTTCTGGGGTTCAAAAGGAATCATTTTTATTGATTGTTTATCTGAATAAGGGTGAAAGCATCACTTGTGAGTACTACGCAAATTTATTGCAGCGTTTGAGCCATGAAATAAATAAAACAACGACCTTATCTTGCGAAGAAAAAAGTCTTCACTTCACTGATACCAAAAACGTATTAGCGTTTTTGGAGGTTAAGTTGAGAAATAAATAAAAACTAAAGAATCAGAGCCAATGGGGCGAAAGTTTTTATTTATTAATACCACACCAACGTTTCCCCACAATATATGGAGTTTTCTTCAAAGGCATATAAATAAAAAAAATACAATAAATCGTTGTTTTCTTTGTTAGGCCCTCATACATAAAAAAAAGCGTTTATTTCATG